ACATACATTTAATAGCATGTATATATATATATATATATATATCTGTGTGTGTGTGTTTGTGTGTGTGAGTGCGCATGTGCGTGTGTATTGGATGCCTGTATACGTGTCACACACGGTGCCTACAAGGCTGCCATATATTACGGATGTCGTACCCTGTCCATGTACGCCCCTGATTACTCGTCCCGTACGATCCGTGACGAAAGTGTCTGGCAGTCGGTATACGGTCCGTATGCTATCTCATGGCAGCCACTAATCTATTTCTGATACGGAAGCTGATGTCATCGATTCAATACTCGACATGAACCATCAAAAGAAGTCTGAGGGTCTACAGGGCACTGCCCTGATTGGGAATCGAACCTACGATCTCTTCAGTTGTTGTTTTTTTTTTTCATCGACACGATGGCTCAGCCATAGAGTTACAGTCACGTCGATCACCGAGGTTCAGCAGCATTTGGCGCGGTTAGTACTTGGATGGGTGACCGTTCAAGTCTTGCCGTTTCGCCTCTGCTGTTCGCTTCGTAGGGTCATTGACTGTTTCTCTGTTTCCGACATCGTGAGCAGGAGGTGTGCCAAATTTCCGCCTCGTTTTCTGAGTCTGCAGCTTAGACACCAGGTCAGAAATGAGGCAGATACACCGGGCTGTTTTGGATCAGGTTTGTCCTACAGGAGATTTCCCAGGGTTTTTCTGATCCACATGACAATTGTCATGGGCGAATGCGAAGCAGTTGTTAGGGCCCCCTCTACTTCCAATCCCATCCCAATTCCTTCTCAATCTCGAGTGCTAAGTGCCTCTACAAGAGAGCTGGACGCGAAACACTATAAAAAAAAGTTTTAAAAAAAGCTGTGTTGTTTCAATGGCTTACACGCTAACTAACTGAGCCTGCAAGAAGCTCAGATTCAATATACTTTTTAAAGTTATACTTCTATAGGCGCGTTATGCGCGACGGTAAATCAAAGATTTCGGGTTTTGACCTTAAAGTTAAAGCGTGACGGAAGTGCATTTTGCTTGGTTCTCCCCCTTCACCTCCTCCCCGTGACGTACTTCCGGTTTCTTCTTCACCACATGACGCTACATCATATCACCATACCACACATTTTTAATTTAATGAATTTTATTTCTTTTAACCAATTTAAAAAAAAATAACAGTTTCCAAAAGGGTGTACTATAGCTTACAAAACTGTTACAAAAGAATTAGTATGTAAAACTGTTTTATTTATTAACAAATTAATTTGTATCAAAAATATATGTGACATTAATACACTATATTAATTAGAGTCAATCACTTTCAAAATTATAGACGCTATCATCTACTGTGTGAGAAATGTTATTATCGTAAGGGGAATCGGTATCGTAATCTTGATAATTGACAAAAGCACCGATCACCACACAACCCAGAGAGCTTACTGGCCGCTTTGTTAATTAATTGAATAAATAAAATAACAAAACCGCCAAACACCACACAACCCAGGGCGCTTACTAGTCGCTTTGTTAATAAACATAATAAATAAAATAACGCGAGGGCCAATCCCCACAGAACCCGTTGCGTTTACTGGTCGCTATGGNTCAAATGGTTTGTTTGTATTACCGCCAGATGTCGCGTTTTGACTTATGTTTTATAATACTACACTATCTACATAGTTTTCTCTAACCTGACCTAGCAGTTCAGTTAGCTTCGTATCGCTTAACAGAGAGCATGTACCTTAAGAAATAAAGTTTTCCTTTTGCTAATATTCGGTCTCCATTATTCTCGACTAATTATATTATCAGTAACACTAATTGTTCACAGTAAATGACGCATTACAGTATTCTGCAGTTATTTCTAGATGACAAAATTTTTTTCCTTTTTCTAATTTGTAATTCTATGTGTTTTTTCAAATGGAATTACATATGGCATTACCAAGCTAAAACCCTTTATGTAATGCTATTCGTAAAACCATATGTAATGCCACATGACTTTCCTGAAGGTATTACAGAAGTCATCACACATGGAATTCCGTCTTTCTTTTTCAGGTGGGTTATTATCATTTTATTTATAAATAATTAAAGCGACCAGTAAGTGCCCCGAGTTGTGCGGGGATTGGCGCTTATACTATTACTATCCTAATCATGAATAATTGAAGCGGCCAGTCAGCGCCTCGAGTTGTGGGGGAATTGGCCCTTGTCGTATTATTGTTATTTTTACAAACAATGAAACTAACCAGTAAGCGCCAGTAAGTGACCAGTAATATTTCGGTCATATTTTATAGTGGTAAAGAGTTATGTGGTAATTATAGAAGTGCCAAATAATCTTTTTCATTTACCAGCCGCAACTTACACCAATGGATAGAAAGTATTAAGTTGTTCCCAGGAAATACCATTTGCGACAAGATTTAAATTCATATTGTACCGGAAAATCAACCTTCAAAAAAAAACCCCGTACCCGATCTTATCTATAATACTAATCTAAGATAATACATGAGGCATTGTAGATAACATCATAGATAAGAATACAATATCTGTTTTTGCCGGTTGAGTTTCGGGTACAAGATGCATTCTAATCTTACCGCAAATGGTTATTCCATGCGACAGCTTTTTAATTTCTATCCACGAGTGTAAGTTGCGGCTGTTTAATAAAAAAGACTACACGGCACTACTATAATTACCAACACAAACATAACTCTTTACCACTATGAAATATGACCGAAATATTTTGGATCTCAACGAATAATAATGTTCCTTAATTCTGGTGACAGAGGCGGCTGGTTGAAATTTTGACCACCCTTTGGCCTCAGCTCTTGATCTAGAAAACGCTGTGTAGCTGTCGTAGCGTAGCTGGGGCGCTGGGGCCGCTGGGCTGCCGCTATCTTATATTTTACGTAGGAATATGGTTTTTTGATTAATTAAAAAATTGTTTTTCCGACCGAAAACCAGCAAAAAAGTAGCAAAACATGCAAAAATAATAAGCATTAAAAAATAATGGAAAAAAACGATTTCTATCGTTGACATTTGGGTTATTGATAGGTATTGGTATTGTTAACCAAATGCACCCAGTTCGGTTTTTCAAAAACAATATGGCGACCTTCTGCAAAATTGTTAAGTTAAGACTTTGGAATGCTGTAAATTCTGACTGAACAAACGGATCTTGATAAAACAAATTGGAATCGGTAGGTATTAACGGCATCTTTGAGTGTGCCAAATTTCAAAATTTTTCAACAATTAGTTTTTTTGTTACTTGATATGATACTTTTACATTTTAGCTTGTACTACCCGATCTACTGAACGTAGGCAATTCAAACTTGGATATGTACTTTTCAAAAGTTCCAGCTACACGGCAAAAATAGTGCGACATTAATTGTTGCAGTATTTGTTGAGAAATCGTTTATTTCACTCAGTCTGTTTGGGCGGCTTGAGCGCGCGGACACTCTGCTGCGTCAATAAGGACGTGCGCCGTACCGACATGCGGCCCGCGTATCCATCGCTTTCATCGTTAATTGTAAAATGAATTACTCGACAACAAAGGCACGTACGATCATTGATTTTTTTTTTAATTTGCGTGTTTTTTCCCGATCTTTACGATGCAGTTCTTAGTTTTACACTAAAAGACAAATAAGGGCCAAAAAAATAGGAAAAATCATCAAAACTCGCTATTTTCGCGTTTTTAGTCACCACTGTAGGATGTATTGCTAAGGAGGCCCCATGAGAGTGCTCTATAAATAACAACTGACCCAACATTCATTGCAGCTGTTTGTATCAACTCAAACACTGCGTAATAGCAGTGTAAGATACTGAGTCACAAGTCACAATTATACTTACAACGATCCAAATACCAAAGTTGACCACTAGGAGGATCAGTGTCAAAAAGGCAGTAGCAGACGAGAAAATAATTGTAAAGTAAAAGGTGCACCAAAATATAAATACAAACTCTAAAATTTCTTACAAAATTGTTCACGATAAGTTGTATTATTTATTACGTCACTGGCTTTATTTGTCGAAAACTACGAGAAAAATTTGATAAATGCACCACATGTCAAATTACAATCCTGGAAAATCTGTTAAACCAGAAGCATAATTAAATGATTTTAAAAATAGGGGAGGACTTATCCATGCAAATACTCTTTTTTACAAACTCTTTGATAAAATAGAAAAATATTTTAGGGAAGCCATAAATAATCAGCTTTTCAATGTTTACGAAAGTGTCGTTGAAAATCTTTTGCACAATTATAAGTTTCAGTTCCCCTGTAAACTACATAAAGATGCAATAGCCAAATCTATCTATTATTACACTGGCATGGGAATGAGACAGTACGTTAACATACAAAATAAGGATGTTTTAAAAGAAAGTAGAGAGAAAAAAAAATTATCAAAATTGGTTTCAACCTAATTTTTAATTCATTAATTTATTGCCTCTATTGTATCTTATCCTACGTATCAGTAGTAGATTGTAAAATTTGTAAATGAATAGAGTTACGATTATATCATATAGTTTTTATATCTAACATACAAAATAAGGATGTTTTAAAAGAAAGTAGAGAGAAAAAAAATTATCAAAATTGGTTTCAACCTAATTTTTAATTCATTAATTTATTGCCTCTATTGTATCTTATCCTACGTATCAGTAGTAGATTGTAAAATTTGTAAATGAATAGAGTTACGATTACATCATGTAGTTTTTATATTTTTATTTAGTAATAATTTTTATTGGCAAAACTTTGAGTTATACAGCCATGACGCAATTAATATATCTTTATATTGTGCCTTTCTTACTTATACGCCATCTGACGAGTGTGAGCGGTACTGCTACAAAACTGCAACCCGTTGGAGGTTGGAGTTGGAGCCCGGGTGCTTCGTACCAATCGTACCACCTGTCTTATCTTAGGGTGCCTGACGGTAGGTTCATCACGTGACCACATTTAACCTCTCCCTCACTCTCATGAGACCAGAGACCAGAGAGCTTTGACGGGAAGTTGCCAAACAGCAGGTCTTCCCTGTACAGGCACCCTTACACCGTGTCACCGTGTGTATTATCTTATTATCTACCATGAAAATATGAATTTCTTATATATGTGCTCGAGTTGCTTCATTGCTTATGGTCTCTATGAGTTTTTGTATGGTTATGGATTTTGCTTACCGCACAGAACAAACAGGAACCTTTTTAAATTCACTGGTAAAAAAAAATAATTAGGTACACTGGGCATTGGAATATGTGATTTACCTAATTTTTAAGTAATCTCTCGTCATGGAGGCGAGACAGTTTTTCACGTGCTCCCTGAGCCCGCTTGTCGTTAAAACTTTTGCAATCAAGTGGTCTGAAGATGGCAGGTTGTCTGTTGTTACCAGGGAAGGTGTTCACATCATTGTGAGTTAAATATATTAATCTACTACCTAAGATGAGTAATGATTTCGTAACCCCTATAGTATTTATACAATATTTACATTTTCTAAATTCGCACTTTTTGTTTACTGCTGCACATACTTATGTTATCTCTCATTCTCCATGTGGGTTTCCCTCTCTTTTATGATTGCTTTATTGTACATTACAAATAATACAAGTACGTACTTAAACGTCTCTTCAATATGTTTCTCATTTAATATGAAGAGGTCTTATATGGTGCATGTGTTACTTAAATCATGTATTTTACTGTTAAATTTGAGTAGTTATCACTCAAAGGGTTCATATAGCTATTTTTTAAATGATAGTGTACCCAAGGATTTTCTTACATACTTTGATTCCCTGATTATAAATATTGAATTAAGAGTTGAAGATTTGAGAGAATGAAGTTAATTTTTGGTAAAATAATTTGTAAAATTTAGTAATTATAAAATTTAGTGCAATCGCAAACAACTGGGGAATGAAGGTGTGCCATTAAAATATATTAGTAACTTTATGCTCGTCATAACCTAGAAGTATGTTCAAAAAAGCGATAAAAAAAAGTGCTAATAATGTATTTATTCTATTTCTTAATCATTTTGCTATTAAAACTTCTTAACAACAAATGCATTCATACGATGTATTAATTTATTAGTTGTAACTTTTAGTAAAAATCAATATGTTGAACTTGCAAATTTCTATATTTCTGTGTTCTTATAGCCTTGAGTTTTGACTGTTTATATGCATTCAGGATGTTTTATATACATATATATATACTATGTACAGACTTACTGTGGATACAGACACTTTCTTTATTCATTAATTATGTTATATCTTTTTTATACAATATATTATATACGATATACATTTTTCTTTGTTTTGGATATTATTCCCATTTATGATATTTTCTCCCCGGTCACGCATAAACGGTTATTAAGAATTCCTTTCAATTACTTTTATTTTTTTAGACGAATAGAAAATCCCCTGAAATAAAAAGTTGATGCTTGAAGGGTCGTTTTTGATATTATACGTAATTCAATGCGTAGATTACGATAAAAACACTTAGAACATTGAAAACTCTCTTGGGAGCTAATATCTCGTAAACTGTAGAAGATCGAACGAAAATAAAAATACCAGCGTGTAGAGCGGAAAATTTCCTACCGATTTGGTATTTTACTTTTGTTCGGTCTCGCTGAAAATTTCGAGGTAAAAATTATTGAAGGTATTTTTTCCTCAATGCTATAGGAGAAAGTGAGACAGAGAGCGCGGGAATAAGTAGCTGTGTGCTCCAACGATCGTCGGCTGCTCCTCGCATGTATATAGATATATACACTGATGAATATAGTCGGAGTCGTTATATACTTTTAATCTCGTTAGACGGTAACGTTTGAATAAAATAAAGTAACATTGTTTACGCCGAAAACCACTCAGAAGTTATTGCAGTGAAGAACAGGTATATATCAAATTCCGTATAT